ATTATTTAAGTTTTTATTGCTTCTGTTTATAAAAATTTAGTTTATACCCTGTTCATCAACTGAAAGATGGAATGGAATTAAACAAGAATACTCAAAATTAAAATTAATAAACTTGTAACTGCACAGCAGAAAACACAAGCTGTTGCAGAGATTTAGATGGAGAGCCAGTGTGGTGTGGTGGTGAAGAGCGTGGGACTGGGACTCAGGCGATCCGGGTTCAAGTCCCCGCTCAGCCATGGAGCCAACTGGGTGGCTTTGGGCCAGTCACAGACTCTCAGCCCAACCTCCCTCACAGGGTTGTTGTTGTGGGGATGAGATGGAGGAGGATGATGATGTAAGCTGCCTTGAGCCCTTTGTAGGAAAAAGGCAGGATATAAATTGAAAAATAAATAGGGAGCTGACCATCATTTGACCATCTGCGAGGATCCGGAGTGGTGTTCACACCACGTGTGCATGTGTTCCTATAAACTAAAGAGACGACAGAGCCAAGAAGTACTTTCCTCTGCACTGCGAACGGTTTTCGATAAATAGATCAATAGTTCCTGCGTTTCCCCAGGGTGGTATAAAATAACGTGCTCTATCTGTAGCTCGCTTCGCGGCGGAGTTCTGCACCCCGCTCTGACGAGCGAACCAACCAAGATCCCTCCTTTACTTGTCAAGATCGCTATCTTCTAGGGATGCTCCTCCGCTGGGCATCTCCCTGCCTGAGCGCTTTAAGGTCGCCGAAGCAAACAGAGGTCTTATCGAAGCGATCGTGCCCGAGCCCCCTCCCTCGCCGTCCATTTTCTAGGACAATAGCTGGGACGCGGAGCGTTCATTAATAAAAAGAGCGCGCGCGTGTGTGGCGGCTCCTCGCCCGCGCGCTCGGCGAATGTATCCACCGATCGCAGGCATGTGCAGCCACCCCCGCTCCGCCGCACCCCCGCCACCTGACCGTCCAATCAGGGAAGCCCGGAGGGGAGTCGGAGCTGGCTGAAGGGCCAATGGGAAGTGTCCGGGTGACACCCGCCCGCGCGGTTTTGGGCGCACGCAGGGAGCGCGTCAGAGCTGCCAAGTCCTCTGAAGTGTGTCTCCTGAGGTGCGGTGGCGGCAGGAGGGAAGGTGCCTGCCTGCCTGCCTGCGTTTAGCGCGCTGCCGTTCGGGGCGCAGCGCAGCGCAGAGGGGCACCATTCATTCCGCGGCGGGCGGGGGATGGATTAGGACTGCAGTCGTAAGCACACGCACCTGGATGTAAGTCTCCTCTGAAACCCATCGCTTCCGTGCCAAGTTGACTCGGTTAGGATGAGGGTGAACAGCAGCCGCGGTCGTGCGCCTTCTCTTATAAAACCTGTCCTTTCTTGAACACCACCACCACCACCAACGCAGAATTGTCCCACCGTCGCCACGTCCACATTTTCCCCCCGTCCGGTTTTAAAATCCCGGGAATAGGTTTCGGGAAACTTTTCTGAGAGGATCCACCTCGATTCTTCAAAGTGAAGGTACCAGTTACTTTCAAATACTGATCCCCAGATATTGGACCAATGCGGCCTGTGACCCACTCCCAGCCTCACAATTTAAAAATAAAATACTTAATCCTTCCAGCACATAAATACCACATGATGCAATTTGATGTAGATTTACAAGAGCAGACCAGGGCTGTCATGGACAGGATATTTTGGAGGGCCTTCATTCATAGGATCACCCTAGGTTGGAGGCAACTTGATGCCACATGCCAACCACAATAAATTCAATGTAGAGTTGTTGAAATGCCATTAAATTCTATTTTAGTCCAGGTGAAGATTTTGGCCTAGACTGATGGATGCTAAGAAAGAATGAGGCAGGGAGGGAGGCTCCAGAAGGGATGCCTTCTGCCCCTCTATTTTCTGCATTAAAAAAAAAAAAGGTTACCTGCTTGCATTTGGTCAGGAGCTTTAACAATGACAAGGGTTGACCCATTCCAGCATTGGATGGTGGAAATTCTAAGGTCATAGTTGCTCTGTGCATTGCCTCTGCATCCTACACAGGTTGTGAGGAGCAAGCTGGGGTGAAGTGCATCCAGCAGCAACAGAAATGCATGCTCTAAGTTACAAGAGCTTATCTGGAAAGCTAATTATAGGTTGCACAGAGTCCTTGTATTAATGCACATGACATTTACAAAAAAGGCAGCTGAAACTGATTTCTGGAAACTATGGACCACATATGTAATGCTTTGAGTTCTTGCTCCAGTAGGAGTGCAGCCCCTAGCACACTGTGAGGCACTGCTTTCTGTAATGCACCCAACTTGGGTCTGTGAACCCTAGAGTCCTATGGAGAGTAAGGAACACCTAACCCCACTGATTTGACCAGTCTGGGCATGGGAAATTCTACATAGGATTAGGCTTAACAATTGCACATCTATGTAACTTAGTGGGAGCGCCACCAAGCAAACACAATGGGACGACAGTGTGAAGGAACATGCATAGGACTGAGCTGTAACCTTGTACACATATGCTTGGGAGTAAGTCAATGTTTTCCAAACATTTTATAATAGGACACAGGGCTTCATTCTGAATTAAAATCAATGAAATGTTTCACTGTTGCACTCAAAAACAGCCACATAAGTTTTCTTGATCAGCTTCCAGAACAACAGGCAAGGATTCTTCTGACAGCTGGGAAATAGCATAAGAATCCCAGCCACCAGGGTTTCAGAAAGGATCCATACCTCTGGGTCATGCTTCTGGAATTCCTGTCATTGCTCAGCATGGACCTGGGCAGTGAAACCTTGTTTGTTCTGTCTCCAGATAAGGTTGGATATACTGACAAAAAGAGAGGAAGGAAATCTATGCTGCTTACTCTAAGAGCCAGAGAGCACTAGGCTTGTCCTTGGTGTTGCAGTCTTTCAAGGTGCGCTTCTGCCTGTCCTACACTACACGGTATGAGAATCATTGACATAAGCCCTGCTGACCAACCTCAGTGAGACTTGCTTCTGAATAAGCATTTATACTAAGAACTGGGAGGCACAATAACTTAAATGAAAGTACTTCCTTCCAGTTCCACCCCCTCTAAGTTTCTACTACCAGGAAGGGTTCTGCCTTTGAAAATCTGGTTCCTCATTCAAGAGGGTAATTTTATGTAACTATGTAGGACCAAATGATCTGGAGGGGAAAATGCTGGGGAAAGCACCTGGCACACGATGTGGATTGCCATACATAAACTGTAATGATGCATGTGAGCCCTACTTTGTTCAATAGGATTTCCAAGAAATGTGCATATGGAATTTTATCTGTTTGTCCCAAGGCAACAAGCAATCCATGCTCACTTGCATGGAAGTAGGCTTGGGGTAAACATTCTTAGGATCAGGCTGCAAGTCATCTACATCCTCTTGAGTGCCTTCAGTTAGAAAAAAGCCCTGTGGTTCCCATGTATTTGTCCAGCTCCTAGCACAATGGGCTCTGCTGCATGATAAAAACTAATTATAATAATATGATTAAAGGCAATCGTTCTACTATTGAGAAAAAGACACCAGTTGCCAAGTTTTATGCATGGTTATTAGTCTTGCTTGTTTTGAAAATGCAATTAAAAATTAAATCCTTGAATTAAGCACATAGATGGAGACAAGAAAAATGTGTGTGCGCGTGTGTGTGTGCATAAAGGAGTAAATTAAAATGAAGAGAAAAACAGAATGGAATCACTGAGTTCAGATGCACTGTGGCAATAGAACTTCCATAAAGTTCAGAGGTTTTGGATTTCTGTATTCTGGGACTGCCCATAAAATAAAATAAAAACCCCCTAAAAGACAACAGATCCAGACTTCATAAGGGAACTGAGTATAATGGGGGAAGGGAGGTGGATTGGCTTGAAACCTGCACGCCAGATCCAATCTCTAATTAGAACCTTTTGTCTAAGTCTTTTCTAAAGCATTCCGTGTCTGTTTAATATTTAACATATGGGGGGGAGTGAACAGAATTTTGTTGGTGTGCCAGTTATATTACAATCAGATATTGTTTAGTTAAGATGCAGAATAAAAAGAAAGAAAAGGAAAAGGCCAATTTTCTAACATGAAACTTTAAAGAAGAAGGTCGTGGGGGAGGGGGGTTATACCGCAAAATGATTTCACAGTCTTGCACTACTAAAGTTGACCGTCGGTCCCCCCTCCCTCCTTTCCTCCCTCCCGCCTTCTCCCCCTCCAAAAGAGCAATACAGCAGTTGCTTTGCATTGTATGGGAAAATAAAAGGAAGAGAGTTCAAACAGCAATTGATCTTTATCTCATGGGGGGAAGGAGTAGGGGGAAGGAATGATAGTTTGCAAAGAAAGGGTTGAGTTGCTTGAGCAACGGAAGGGTTAAAGGCAGGGAGTGGAGCTGGCAGAACCGGGAGGAGGGAATGTTGCCTGTCCCTTTAAGGTTCCTGCAGCAATGAGAGAATTGCAGGGATAATACGATTGGGGCGGCAGGATCACTTACTTCTGACGTTCCAAAGCCTGGGGGAGTTGGCTAGAGATTGTTTCCCTTTGATAAGGTCCTGGCAACTTAGTAACAACTGAAGAGGCAATAATAATAATACTCATCTAAGTCTAAAAGCTTTAGCGTAAAAAATAAAATCTCTAAAGGGGGACAAAATAATTAGCCCTCTAGCACATGCCTGTACACAGTGTTAGCATCTCGGCTGATACTGCGCCAGTAAGAAGTGTGTCTTTTATTCTATGTCATGTTTTGTGTGTGTGTGTGTGTATGTGTGTGTGTTTTTAAAGGGGGGAAGGTGTTGCAGAAAAGACGCTTATCTCCCTTACAGGACCGTTCTCTCGGTTGTTCACTTTGATGTGCACAGTTAAACCCACAGCTCAGTGTTTGTTGGAATAGCCCGGAGGACATTTGGTGTATGGAATGACTGCTTGAAACAGGACCTGAGTTGAAAGAAGGGGGGTGGGTGGGGGGTAAGGAGAAGTGGGGGAGGGATCAGGTCTTTTGATTTTTTTCCCTCTCTTTTGGGTTAAAGAAGAAGGGGGCAGTGGAGGGAGGAGAGGATCACACTGAACTCTCTCTCCACTTATACATTTCCTGCAACGTCCTAATCCACCCCCCATTCCCCCTTTTTTACTCTCAGATGCTACTGCGAAGCTTGAGAGGAGGTGGATGATGAAAATATAGAGGGGGGGAGATCGGCTCGAGATTGCGGATTATTTTTCTCCTTTCCTAAAGGAGGCGAATTTGAGTGTGAGGGGGGCTATTCTGAAGGAAGTGCTGAGCGCCCGTTTACGGAGGGGGCGGAAAAAGAGCCCCACCAGAACTACTGGATCAATGGTAAGTTGTAAAAGAATGTATGTGATTCCCGAGCTGGCTGATGCCTGCCTGCCTCCCTCCCCTTTCTCCCGGATCGCTTTGATGTCCTCTTGGCTGGAGCTTTGAAGTTGTTAAGGAAAGCTATTTATGTGTTAGTTATGAGCAAGCAGAGCCTGGTAAGAAGATAGATCAGGGTTTGTATGAATAAACATGATAACAACTGAGGCGTCGGGAGATGAAGAGGGGGGATATCTGGTGGTAAAGGGGGTTCTTCCACAGCCCCCCCCCCCCCGGTCAGTGAAGTGGGAAGGGTTTGTGTTCTTGTTTTCCATAATGTTTTCTGGTTTGGCAGGAGAGCTAGAGACCCAGGATGTATTTTTGTTTGTAGGTAAGATGTAGTGAGGAGGATGCGATGCCTCTCTGTCTCTCTTCCCTCACCTCCTCTTGTACACCCCTCCCATTCCAATCAGCACCCTCTGTGAACTCCAAAGAGGCACTGCATGCTTACTTAGGGGTCAGTTGTTGTGCAGGACTTGGGAAAAGCAACTGGTTTTAAGACTTCTCGTCCTCCCCCCCACCCCATTCCTCTTTGCTGTTCCTGAGCTCTCTCGTCAAACCTCTCCCACTCCTTTCAGTCAGTCGCCATTTCTGGAGATTTTTTCTTTAATTTTTTTTAACCCCCTCTTAAGGATTATTCTTTGAGGGCATGGTGCCTCACAGCCTATAAATTCTTCTTTTTACAGAACAATTTATTACTAAAGGCAGCGACGACACCCAGCCCCATACACACACATGCATGCAGACACACATACACTGTGTGTGTGTGTGTGTGAGAGAGAGAGAGTGAGAGAGAGTGTGAGAGAGAGATCCGATGTGATGGTTGATCTAAGGTAGGGAGAGAGAGCTTGAGGATATAACAGCCAGTTGGACTGTCTGCTGCTGTTCAGGTATATTGCAGGAGAGTAGCAATGCTGTCTTCTTCTTCTTGAAACAGGGTTTTATTGCAAGCCAAACTGTAGCAAAAGTTGCTTGAGCGGCGAAAACAGCACATTGAACTTCTCTCTCTGTGTTAATTTCTGTCTTTGGGTGGTGAGGGAGAGGTTAGTGGGGTTACTGGAACCTGGGAACTGACTTGCTTATATGTTCTGATTAGTTGTGAACTCTTATTAGATTGGATGTTGTTGATTTTATTGAAAGTATGTAGAGAGCTTTGGAAGACCTTTCTGTGCTGTACAACCTACTGAAAGGTGTTGGGAAGTAATACAAAGTGCTTAATGATGGAACTTGACCAGGTTAGAATGAATCAAGGGATGGGAGCAGAATTGCAATCCTTTGCTGCCAATGGGTGGAAGTTTTACATGTGTGGCTAGTATAACAACCAAGCTCAGGTGAAAAACAACTGAAATGAATTGGACCTATTTTAAGATAACTCTGGTCAGGTTTAATTTGTTCTTCCCATTTTCTTTAAACACTTTCTTAATGTGCAGCTTTGGAGAAGCATCCAGTGTTGTGCTTAGAAGGGTTTCTGGTGATCATAATCTAAATGTTTAAGGAGTTGAAGAGTTGGAGGGGGAGAGAAATGGAAACCAGATGCTGAGGAGAGCACGTTTTGTTCTTTGCCTTGAGTTATCTACCAAAGAAAGAGGGAGGGAGGCAAAACTTGAAGGATATTTTGTGGTGCAAAATGGGTATAACAATGCAGAGATCCAAGATCCTGGGACTTCTCAGATGTTATCATTAGTAGGAGGAAAAAGTTCATGATGGTTTTCTTTTTGCATGTTTTGACTTTATAGGCAATGTAATAATTAAGAAGCGGTCTGTTTCCAACTCCCCTTTTGCTCCCTCCACACCAAAGTTAAAAGTGTGCCCAGAGTTCAGTCTTTCTCTTTGAAAAGCGTATCTGATACTTTTGATTAGCGGCAGATAGCTGCGGTTGCCTCTTTATTTTAATGTGAAGAGTTGAAAAGCCTGTTTACTTTTTGTCTTTGATGTTGGGTGGATCTGGTTTTGATTAGATCAATACTTCCCCCCTTTTTTCCTTCAAGAGAGAAGACTCAGAGGATCCCCTGCTGACTTGAGAAAGGAAAGAGAGAGAGAGAGAGGCACACAGATTCCTGAGGAACTTAAAAAGAAAAAAAGCTCTGCCAGAAGGAACTCCAGGAACCATGAGCAGTGCAGCATTGCTGACTCACCTTCCAGACCCCAGTAGCAGCTTCAGAGAGGATGCCCCACGCCCCCCTGTGCCAGGGGAAGAAGGAGAGACACCATGCCACCTGGCTGCCAATTTGTTTGCCATGAAAAACCAAAGCTTCAAGGCCATGTCAGTTTCTTCCACACCAAGGAGGAATGAGGATGGTCTTGGGGAGCCAGAAGGCAGTGCATCTCCAGACTCTCCTCTAGCACGATGGACCAAATCCTTGCATTCCTTACTGGGAGATCAAGATGGTGCTTATCTCTTCCGGACCTTCCTGGAAAGGGAGAAATGTGTGGATACTTTAGATTTCTGGTTTGCCTGCAATGGCTTCAGGCAGATGGACCTTAAGGATACCAAAACATTAAGAGTAGCCAAAGCTATCTACAAAAGGTACATCGAGAACAACAGCATTGTCTCCAAGCAGCTCAAACCTGCCACTAAAACCTACATAAGGGATAGTATCAAGAAACAGCAGATCGATTCTATAATGTTTGACCAGGCACAGACTGAGATTCAGACAGTGATGGAGGAAAATGCTTACCAGATGTTTTTAACTTCTGATATATACCTCGAATATGTAAGGAGTGGGGGAGAAAATCCTGCTTACATGAGCAGCAATGGACTGGGAAGCTTAAAAGTGGACTGTGGCTATCTCCCTACTTTGAATGAAGAGGAGGAATGGAGCTGTGCAGATTTTAAAAACAAACTCTTGCCATCTGTACTTGGGCTGTCCAGTAAGACACTGAGGGCTACAGCAAGTGTCCGGGCTACAGAAACAGTGGAAAATGGGTTCAGGTAAGGAAATAGTTTTGAATTAATATTGGAGTTGTTGCTCTTTAGGAAGTCTTGTAAAGTGGGCATGTATACCCATCACCAGTGTTGTATGTCTGTTGTAAATAGATTTTGTTACAGATTCCTTTTTAAATTTACCTTAAAACTTTGGCATTTATTTCTGGCTTGTGGGGATGGCAGCCTTTCTCCCTAATAAAGAAAGCAGTACATTGTGGTTCTTAAGACCCTAAAGCTCTCTTAGACATCAAAAAAGAACTTCAAAGCGACTCTTGTTCTTTGAGACATGCGTTAATTGTTACCACTTTAAACCACATTAAGAGGAACTGGGAAGAGCACCATCTAGGCATGTGAATGAGTAATGAAATACTAGTTTGCCAGCTTCAGCCCTAGCTAGTGTTGAAATATGTGGATTATATGTAGAAAATGGGAAGCAATTATGTGACACTGGAACAAGAAACTCCATATTATTGCAGTAACCTGTGTGACTGAACCAAGTCACTTACAAGGCAACAATGTATGGTGATTACACATACATACCGTCCTTGAGGATATCTTGTGTTAGTTTGGTAGTATGGTGAACCAAAGGAAATACACTTGGCCAATAAATGGTTTCAGCTGGAGGTGGTATGCTACCTGTCAGGTCAGAGTGCGAGTTCAAAATCCATAGGAAACTGCCTTGTTCCGTGTAAGACCATTGGTTCACTGAGTTCAGTAACACTTACTCTGGATTGGCAGTGGTTCTCAAGAATTTCAGAATGAGGTCTTTGCTAGTCCTACCTGGAGATGCTGCTGGGTGTCCTCGAAACCTTTTGCATGCAGTGAATAAGCTCTAGCAGCAAGTTACAGCCCTTTCGTATCAATAAAGTTCAGGCTCCATTAGAAGGTGGTTCTGTTTCAGATTCAGCATTTTCCATGGTAACCCAGGGGAGTGATATGTTCCCTTTCATTGCTATGTAGTTTGAAGAAAGTGGGCAAGAATAGTTTCTCACAGAAAGGCAACATCTTATTCTCTTTCTCTCTCTGATCATGATAAGTGTTATAAGCTTCTGACACCTTACTCTCTTTCTCCCCTCCCTTTCCCCTTCATAAATGGGAATTGGGTGAACAAGGATCTGTAGAGCAGAAGGACCTGCTCGCTCCCTCTATTGTGTGTATTCTGTCTTGTGTTGGAAGTTTCCTTCTCAATCTGGTAAGTATTTGACATCTGGTTTACAGGAATTTTTGTGAGTGTTTCTGTGATTCATGGACATCAAAGGACTTCAGGCATCTATTCTGTTTGCAGCTTGTTTCAACTATGGCCTGCCTCTAAGAGGAGGGTTCTCGAATTGCATCTGTTGTGTTTCTTGGTTGCCCTTTAGAAAAGCAGCAGAGTTTATGGTCTTTTCTAGTGATAGGTTTGGAAAGACAGCTGGTTCTAATTCAGCTTTCACTGACACCAGTGCAAATCTGGAGGGGCTCCAAATCTATAAGAAGCTTCTTCCAGTTGTTGCTTGTGCAAATGACATCAGTGTGTTACCTGTTGATTTCATCCCTGTGGCAGGAGATGCTTGGCAAAACTTCTGTTATTACCTAAGTACAGTATTAGCCAGTAAAGGAATGTTTCTGTGTTTGAAGTCCTAACAAGTAACTTTCTTTGTGGGGCCTCAGGAGTTGTGACCTATTCCAGCTACATAAGTTTAACATCTAAATTTGCTGTTACCCAGAACTTAAAAGTGGTTCTTTCTGTTTGTTTGCCTGTTTAGCTATCTATACTCACTCACCCCCTACCTCAGTCTAGGTTGAGAAAAAATTGTGGAAGGCATTGACACTTCTGGCACTCTAGTGCCAACAGAAGCTAGAAGACATGGATTCTGATGCTTTTCTGGTTTGGAGTTCGCAAAGTAGGAAACTTTCTGTAGTTACGAAATTTTCATTTGAACCTTCAACTTCACATGGATGCTTTTGGATGGCATGTATTGATGGTCACTTTATGCTGAAAGTATTTATGCCTTTATGGGCAGCAGATATGTGGCTTGGTGTGCTTTTTTTTCCCAAGAGGCAAGAAGTTGCTTCTTGTTTTGACTCTTCCCTCACCATGTTGCTTGTGGGTGAGTGAATTGAGGCTTGTCAGAGTTGACACTGAGTTCCAGTTCTACCACTGCCATGCCTTGTGCACTCTTAGGCAAGCCTGCTGTGAAATACCTCACAAGGTTGGTTGTAGGCTGGACCTCAATAAAGATTCTCAAACATTTCAACAGTTAGAAGTGCAGCACCACAGAAGAGAAGCAGTAGTTTTTTTGATGCAATCTCACAGTTATATGTTGCCCAAGGCAACTAGCTAAGAAACTGTTTCCTCAAGCTAAGAGGCCACCAATTTTGCTGCTTCTCTGCTTGCAAAGATATTAAAGTTAATATTTTTCCATTTGTGGAAGATTGTTGTTAAAGGGCTAGTTTACCTGTTTCTGGTACTAAAGGCTGACAAGGAGAATTTCTTCCAAGGAGAATGTCTTCCCTTTAGCTATTACTTGAATCCATCTATATACTCCCTGACTTGTAGGTAACAAAACCCCTTTTCACATCAAATGTAGAGAGTTGCCCAGCACTATACTGCTCACCAGCTCCAGCAAGCATGGTGAACGGCCAGTGAGGATGGGAGTTACAGCCCAGCAACATCTGGAGGGTACCAGGAAGGCTGGTTAGCATGTCAAATTCAGAGAGGGTTGAAGCTGTAACAGTTTTCATCTATTTTTATGCTCCTCGGTTTCAGTTATAGCATGAAGTTAATGTTGGCAAACCCCACCCAAACCAATCTAGTATGTGTTAAATGGTATATTTGATACATTTGGGGGTTCCTGCAGCAAGACAAATACATCCAGTTTGTCACTAGCCTACAAGTAGCACATTGATCATGAAGTTTTTTCCACTTTTGTTATACTGAGCTAACTAAAGTGGAACCAAAAAGTTTTATGTCAGATTCATGCACAAGTTCTTATGCATAAAACTGCCCTTTCAGGTGCAATTTTATACCCAAGAAGACAAACTCTTTGCTCTCTGTTAAGGTCTGTTGTAACTTCAGTGCAGCTGGCTTTGCCGCTTAATAAGCTGTCTCTAGGAAATTCCTCTCCATTGACTCCAAAGAGTTTGCTGATTGGAGATCATTTTGTGTGAATTTGCTGGAATCATGGTGGCTTCAGTTATCAAAATCTAGTTATGCCATTACTAAGAAGAGAGAAGAATTAATGCACCTTTGGGCACACACATACAATACCTTGTCATTCCATTGGGAGACACCTTGTGAGGAATGCCACATGTTTGCTCCATGTGAAAGTTATAAATGTTGCCAACATAAACTGGCCATCAATATTCCTGACCAAAAGAATACACCAGATAGATGGGCTGCAGTTTCAAATGAAACTTTCTCAACTACTAAGGGAGTCCAATTTAGTAGTTTCCAGTTACAGCAGCCTTCACCACCCTGGTGTTCTCCAGATGTGTTAGACTATAGTTGGCAAAGGATGATAGGTGTTTTAGTCTAATATATCAGGAGGTACCATAATGGGAAAAGCTGAGCTAAAGCATTTCACAGGTTCTTCAATGTACCATGGGCAGGATGGGCTGCTTTGGGTTTTCAGGTTATCTGATTGAAAAAGTAGCAGTCATGCAATGCCACCTTCTTTGTTCCCCAAACCCCCAGTAACAGTGGAGTCAAACTGGTTGATTTTGCAAAGTCTCTCTAGATCAGCCTTCCCCAGCCAGATATCCTCTGGACATTTGGGAAGATGTCCAGGATTTCTTATAATGATGTCTAGAGCTGATGGGGTTTGAAGTCTAAAACATCTGGAGAACACCAGATCAGGGTAGGTTGCTATAGGTTCCAAAACTAAAGCTTTTTGCACAGAGGTAAACAACCCCCTGAAAAGAATCTTAAATTCTGCCTTTTTTGCAAGGCCACCAGAAAAACCTTCCTTGAAAACATTAGTTCTTTGTACTTTTTCTGTGATACAGCTCTGCTCCTTAAGACAGCACATGGAGTGACATACTAAATGTCATTTTAAAAGGGAAGAGGTAATAATGTGAGACCAAGGGCCTACCTTGAAGATGGAGGGCAATGTCCATCTGAGACCAATGTCTATCTAAGTGTTGAAAGCACTTTCCCGTATAGCATCTTAAGATGGGGGTGGCCTTTGAGAGTGCATGTGTGCAGAAATGTGTGTTAGAGACCAGTGCTTGACACAGAAATCAAAACTCCATGAAGGGAACTTGATAGCATCTGGCTACAATTAAGGTTGTAGTGTGGTCAAGATTTTTTCTTCTTTTTTAAGTAACTATGAAAACATCTCTAATTGGTTTACTTAATGTACACAGGGATTTTCTGTGTAGATTTGTTTTTAAGAGAGCAAACTTCGATTATTATTGGTTTTTAAAAATCTATTTAATTATATGATTGTAGACAAATATTGTTACCCACCCCTGGTCAAAGTTCTGAAAAAGTTATTTTGCCCACTAAATGCCTCAGCAGTTTCTTGTGTTTGTGTTTTTGTGGATGATTTTGAGGTAGTTCTAAATGCATTTAACTTTGGAGCAGTACTTCTGAAGTTCAGCCTAACTTGAGAAGATGAACCCTCTAAAGGGACTTCCTAGAGCCGGTGAAGCGCTTCCCCTTAACCCTCTCATAAGGACAAACAGTAAACATCACTAATGGTTGTTCTTGTTTTGTCATGATGGTGGTTGTAACCTTTAAATGTGAGGCTGGCAGGATCCACCATTGGTTCTGTACAGATGGTGAGCATCTTGAAACCAGATACACTAGAACAATAAGTCCTAATGGGCCTGGATTTTGTTAAAGCAGGACATGAAACACTTTCAGGGAGAGTAATAAAAAGACAAGGCTTCAACCTTCCCTTCCTTAACCCCACTTCCCTGAAAACTCAGATCTCACAGTGGTGTGAAGAATGTCCTTGGAACGTTACAAACATGGGTCCTTTGTCAGGAGAGGCGGCCGTTCTAAGGTACAAAATTAGGATCTCCCTCCCTGCCTTGCTTTGCTGGCGGAGTAACTTTCACTTGGAAACATGTGGGGCCAATCTGACTACTACTTCTGTCACTCTTTGCTATCTCCCATTCTTTCTTTCATTCTCTCTCTCCCTCTGCCCGCCTCCTCTCCCCCACCATCATCTTTTGAATGTCTTGATCTTCCGACTGCAATATCTTTGTGTGCTTTGGAAAAGAATGTGATCCCAGCTGTGCTTAAATACCTGACTCTCTTGCAGCGAGGCCTCCTGCAAAGGTCAGCTTGAGACAGAGGCCTAGAACTTCACTCACGCTGTTTGCCATCATAACTTGAAGGGGGCTGGCTGTCCGTCTGTCTCTCTCTCCCACCTCGCTCTCTTCCTCTCTCTCTTCTCGCCCCACCATCCTCCCCACCTTCTTTCTTTGCTTAAGCCTTTGCAAGGGCTCATGTTTTTCCTCTTGCCAGTGAAACAGAGGAATGCAACGCAGCAGGGGAGTGAAGGGAGGGTGGGGGCGAGGAGACTCGTTTGTGAGGGAGCGGAGTAAAGACGACTGAAGAGGTCGAAAGTGGGTAACCAGGGCAAATGGAGACAAAGGGACTAGAATACTCGTGGTTGTGGAAGTGCTGCTTTTCATTAAGACTACCGGGCTGCTCACTTAAATCAAGCTTTGCATCTCTGAAAGTGGCTTGGGGGATTTTTTTTCGAAAAAAGTTTCTCTCCTTCTGTTTCGTCCTGAAAGAGCCACCCTTCCCCCACCCCCTTGCCTCTTGCCTCCCAAGTTGCTTGCAAGTGACTCTAATTTTAAGCAAGTGACTCCCTTAAAACTGAACAGCTCTCAAGAAGAGAAAAGCCTGGATTGATCAGAGTTGCCAAGCTGAATTTCTTAAGAATGAGGGATGTGGTCTGGCCTCTTGTGATGTCTCCTCTGTGGAATGTTATGGAAGTGGTATATGTTTGAAATAAGGGGTGTCCTTTTTTCCTATTCTGTGGAGCAAGCATCTGGAATAAGGGGTGATTGGTTAAATAAGGAACATCTGGTAAACTCAGTCTGGATTCCAGGCATTTGGGGCTTGTGTATTTGAAGATGGTGGTGTCTATAAACAAGATCTAAATCCTCCGCTATGAACAGTTATCACAGTCCTGCAAACTCCTGTAAATCATACTCGATCCTGAAACAAACCTTAAAAGTCTGTATAGTGTGTAAATACAGAATATAAAATGCAGACATGACCTCAATCCCTCTTGCTTTCCCTGTATTGTTCAGGGTGTTGCTGCCTTGCTAGTCCCACATAATCACGGAGAAATGGATGGCAGTGACCCCTTCTAATGGACCAGTTTAGTGGAAATACAAAACTGAAGTTTGCTCTTTCTTTTGCCCTTTCCCTATTATTTGGTTCTGCAAAGATTGATCTCCACCTAACCTGTCAGCAGGATCCTCTGATATTTGACACTTACAGACCTTTGGTGCGAGTTCCTGACATTTATGTCATGGTTCTGCAGCCCCTTTAAGCCTAGACCTTGTGGGCCTTTAGTAACAGTTAATATGCACCAGTTTCCTAAGCACTTCAGCCTAGTCTTTTCTACAGCCCTGTAAAGTAGGCCAGTAAAGTAATTATTCCTGTAAGAGATTGGAGAGCATTTGATATGCCATTAAAGCCACTTAGTGAATACATGACTGAAATTCACTTTCAAGGAAATCAGCTCATAAGAACTCATTTGTCCAAAGTCTTTCCCTATCCTATAGATGAACAAGCAATAAGAATATTCATGTAGGAAGGTTTAAACCAGGTTTTCCTAACCTGACATATTCAAGATGTTTTGGACTACATCTTTCAGCATTTTTTTACAAGTGCTGGTGCTGGTATTAAGTTGAAGTCTAAAATATTTGGAGAGTACCAGGTTGGGGAGGTAGGGAGGTAGGTTGAGTGCTGGAGGGAACTAATCCTAAATGTTACATAGTGGATTTGATAGTTTTTTCTTCCAAGTTATTTTTGAAGTCTAGACAGGGAAACTTTATTTAAGGATATTCCAACTAAGTACCATCCTACTGTAGTAAGGTGGACTGCACACCACGATCTGTCAACTTTGTGGAGCACAATGAAGCAATGGCAGTTATGTTCCTAAACCATGCTTCTCAGAAATGTAGCAATCTGTCACACTGTTGACTTGCATTAATTGACTTGACAAATGTTCGTGTGCCATACTGAGAACAAGCAAGACTGCTATCTTATACCCACTTAACTGGGAGCAAGGACCATTAAACTCAGTGGGGATACTTTTGAATAAACGTGTGTGGGATTCTGCTGAAAAACCATAAATATATTACAGTTTTATAATGGCCTTTCTTCCTCTCTAGACTTTTGCCATCCTTTCCATACTGAGACCCACATGGTGGACAAGCTTGTGTGTGTAAGATCAGGAAGACCCAGGTTCTAGCACCCACTTAGAAACAAAGATCCTTGGGTGACTTAGGCTCATCACTTTCTCTCAGTTTAATCTATCTCACAGGGCTGTCATGGAGATACAATAGGAACTGAACTCTTTGGATGAAGGGTGGGATAAAAAAAGATAAATCTTGTTATAATTAGGTATATTGTTTCTACATGGTGTAACACTCAATAATTTTAAAGTAGTGGAGGCAGATCTACTAGTGAAACTATATGGGAATACTTTATATGTACAGCAGTAGGTAGAAAATGTAGGCTATGATTCATTCTAGACACCTCTTACTTCCAACTGTTCCTTTGAAATTGGTGGGGCTTATTCCAATTACTGGGGATGCTAAGCCTGTAGTTTGCCCTGAGTGTAATATTCTAGCTAGCCCATTGTTCTTTGGTGTTTTCACATGTCTGTTTCCAGAGTTAAAAGAATAACTGGGCTTCCCATTTTTTGTTTACCTCCAGGTCCTTCAAGAGAAATGATCCTATTAACCCTTACCATGTGAACTCCGGCTATGTCTTTGCTCCTGCCACTAGTGCAAATGATAGTGAAATATCTAGTGATGCTCTTACTGATGATTCCATGTCAATGACAGACAGTAGTGTGTAAGTATTGTCCTCAGACAAATAAAAAAATGTTGGTCTTAAAATAATTTTGAGTATTTCTGATTTGAATTTGATTAAAATGCTGATAGCCAGTCAGACTTCAGCTGGATACTCACCACTATATAAAGTGAAATGAATTCAGAGCACAGCAGAGTTTGCTGTTGGTATATAATTTGGCTTTTCTAGTTCCACAACTTTACAGAAACTTTCATCCAGCCCTATGTGAATGAGCTAGTTCTCCCAGTAGGATTAGCAAGTCAGCCTCTGACCTATGGAACATATCTATCACCTTGTCACCATATCCACAACATTGCCTCAGACCTTGCTTTTAGTGCTGGATGTACCATTATCTAATTAAGAGCCATAAAAATAAATTGCTTCCTCTAGAAAATGCTCTCTGAATTTGCTGCTGAACTTAGGAATCTGACCTGAAGAGCCAGTCCTGCTTGTGCTGGTCCTAGATGACTTTCTGTAGGGTGGGTGGCTGGGCGGGCTCTTTGAGATACAATTACAAGTGATTTTTGTGAGTACTTGGAAGAAGAATGGGAAGAACAAGCTGTTGTGCAAAATCCTGGTTTTCTCTGGATTAAAAAAAAAGATCACCTGTATCGGCCAAACATCTGTGTAACCTATGGCAACTAGACATATTTTACTTAGACATGCTTGTCAGTTACCTTCTCTGGCTGCCCCTTCCTCATGTCTGGTTGTATCCCCCTGCTTGCTGCTGTGAAGAAGCTGTGCTTTATTGCCTAAGTATCCCAGGGAGCTGTGAGATGAGGGTGGTGGTATGTTAAAAAATGGACAACAGAAAGGGTACTTTTCAAGAATTGATCCATTTGGTATAACTTAGAGTTCCACCTCTAAGCCCCTATGCTCTTTTGAAGCCCTAAGTCCAGGTGCTTAATCCTGACACTGGGAATAATCCAGTTAAAAACAGCAGGGCTGACTTCTGTGTAAACATGTGTAGAAAAATTGTGTTGTCATTGTACTAACTGTAGTCTTGAAATCTGATGTTAAAAACACATCTTAACTGCTGTAACCGTTTTGGGGTGGTGGTGGCAACAATCAGTGATAAAAATAAATGCTTAAAAAAGAAACTCTCCATAACACTTGAGGCATCTAATGAAGTGGACTATAGTCCACAAAAGCTTGTGCCAGGATTATTTTTTTAGTCTTTAAAGTGTGCCTCAGGATTCTTTGTTGCTTTGCTGCAATAGATGAACAGCACCAGCCTCTGGAAAATATACATTTTCTTTGTTTGTTTTTAAAATTTATATACTGCATCCTAGAGCCCAATTTAGAACTCTCTATAACTATATGAAACCTATAGCTAGTTTTAAAAATATGCTAAAGAAGAACAGATTCCCGCCTCTCTGATTGAACAGCCCTGGCACCACCACCATCATTAAATGCAGCACTTTTTATTTCTGCTTGCTGGCTGGCTGTTTGTGGTGGCCTGTATGTGCTCATGTGTCAACAGAGCATTCATTGGGTTAGTCATTTCTGGACCAGTGTTGGGTCACTTGGGACACGCAGGGCTGGGATTATACCCTCTCTTCACAGTGATGCCAATTGTAGGGCCTTCCAGAGATGAGAGCACTGAGTGAGAAATAAAGTGCATGGTGGATGAAAGGCTTAACTGAATCGCTTTCAGCCTATTGTTAGTCTAGGGGAGCTTAGAGGGGATAAGAGGGTAGCAGGCCGCTTTGAAATTTACTTGAACAAGTGAATAGGAGCTCCCCATAAAGCCTTGCATGAAAGGAGGCTGGCTGTTTTTTCCTACCATGACAATAGCCGGTACAGGCTGTGAGGAGCAGGGGAAGCTTGCTTGATTAAACTGCTGGGAGCTTCAATATTTGGGATGGGGAGAGGTGGAGTGGGGTTTGTGGGGCAGTGTGGCTGTCAATGGGATCTGGAGTGGCTGTATGACTTTAAAGAGCAACCTACCAAAACTCTGGCATCAAGTCTGTTCCTGCTGCAAGCAGATCCCAAACTCCACAGTCCTCTCACTCAGGGAGTTGAGAAATTGGCTGTAGCCTGTCAGGAAAGGAGCAGTTGCTAAGAATTGAGAAGCAGAGTTGTGTGCATGCACACAGTTGGAATACTTTCTTCCTTTTGGAGTTCTGTGGCTAAATAATGCTGCAAGCTCTCAGGTTTGAGAGTTTGTTGATAGGCTCAAGCAGCTGTTGCTAGTTGTGGTAATACCAGGACATGCACTAAGTTTGGGCTTGAATTTCTTTCCTTGCTATATGGGTGTAGGAAAGAAAAGTTTGAGCAAGCAGCCGGGAGGGCAAAGGGGAGAGGTTGGCGGAAGAGTGAACTCCGTGACTGCTGTGGTGGATGCACCACCTGTGATTCAGGGGCTTGGCATCCTGGTCCTGTCCGATAGTAGGTGACTGCTAAACTGTTCGGTGCTGACCTGCTGTGTCTGTATGTTGCATGTACAATAGCTTTGGTGGGGTATAAACCATGAGACAGAATCTACAGACGTCTGTAACCAATACAGTCCGGACTGTGTTTTCATGGCAGCTCCCAGGTGGCCTTCCCAGAAATAAAATGCATACACTCTTCTTCTGAATTTAGATTTAACCCCAAGGATCAATATTGTGTTTTTGTTTAATCTCTCTTTTTTGGTGTTGGCCACAAAGCATCAGGCAAATTAAAATTTCCATTTCTTGATTGGAGGGAAGGGGAGAGAGAGACGAAAGGGGCTTTTTTATTATTTGGTTATATCTTATTTATGGATTTACTTTGGACACAGGGGAATACTGCTGAGCGAACTTCAAATATTACCTTATCTTACAAACCAGGCTTTTGATGTTGGCAAGATCAGAGGCTCCGTTTCAGAGCCATTGCCAAATGAAGATGGGAGTGAATGCATATGCGCCATGAGTCTGATATTTCAAAAGAATCAGTGAAACTACATTCAGGTTAGGTCAGGCACATCTAAGTCAAAAGGCTAAGATAATTGGCTCAGCTTAAATGGCAGCTGACTGGAAAGAAGACTTCAAAACTAGTGTTTCCCCAGAAACAGATTGGCTTAGCACCAGACTGCTTAGCTAAAATGTTTATAATTAAACTGTGCTGCTCAGTGCCTAAAACTGTGCAGTTCTTTAGCCTAGAAAGTTGGATTTAGAACAGCACACACACACCAGGAAATTTAGCTCAAATATTGTACTGTGGGGGAAAAGAGGAAATTACAATCCAATGGGTATTTCAAATTCTCTCTCAAACAGCATTTCAGTTTTGGATAGACTAGTCTTTTGTTTAAGACGCCTTCAAATGTTTTCAGTGTTATCTGGATACATTGAGTGTCTTTCCACCCGTGTTTGTTTTTATTACTGTCTTGGATGTGTTCTTTATCAGATTTGTGTTCTTCATTTCTTCCATGGAGCTCAGCATGGTATATATGGGATTATACCATTCTAGTTGTACGCCTGTCTTACAATATATATTATTCTGAGATATAATGACTTACCCAATTGAGCTTCATGGCTGAGCAGAGATTTAGTATCACCCCTGCTTCAGGTCTCACACTGCCTGCTATATAGTACACTAACTCAATAAGCAAAGTACTTTACATTCTCTATTTTTCTTGGGCTTACAACTATTTTATGAGACGGAGTCACTAGTCCTTCCATTTTTGCAATGAGAAGTGGAGGGGAATTAACCAAGACCATCCTGTAACTCTGTGTCTGAAATTAGATGTGAACCAAAAGTCCAGAATACTTTCTTCTGTACCTCACCTTTGCTTACCCTTTCTTTGGCTACCCTTGGAGGTTTTAAAATTCAAGCACAAGCAGCTGTGTATCTTGTCTGTATTAATTCATCATCAATTCTCATTTTCCTTCAGTGCTCTTTTATCTTAAATGCTCAAGTAGCAAAGTTCTCATTAGGATGCCCAGTTGTGTTTCCTAGGGCTGTTAGGTAAACCTGCCACCCTCCTCCTCAAATGAAATTCACCAGGCCTTTTATTTAATTTTAATTAACATCTTGTTCCAAGATAACTGCTGTTTAAGCAAACCAATTAGGAGGATACCTTCATTTATCCAAATTACTGTGTTAGGAGGTATGCAAAACATTTGGGATAATTGGAGGGCTCGGTCAATGGACAGTGGGTGTTATATGGGCCTAGATTACTATATTGCTGCATGGTAGACCTGTAGTGTTCTTGTATTATGAGGGATTCATTAGATCAGCTTCCCCAGATGGGTGCCTTGCAGATGTCTTGGGCTGCCTCCTATCCTTTCTCAGTTTTATGACCATTATTTTCCATGCTGGCTGGAGATGACACATGTTGTAGTCCAGTACATGTGGAGGACACCAGTTGGGGAAAGACTGCTTAGAGGGCTTTTAAAATTCCTTACCACAAGCAGGAAGTTCTCCAAACGAGAAAATATAAAGCCACATAAGAAAGTGCTATGGGTCAGAGTTCAGTTGTGTACAAGATTATTTGTACCTTTATGCTTGATAATAACATTAGAAAGTAGCCAGTAGAAAGAGAAATGTTAAGCTTCCATGTTCCCTCTGGGTAACTGGTCTTCTCCCCAGGTATTTCTGAGCTTGCCTTACGCAGAGTTGGATCCTTTGAAAGTCTGTCTAGCCCAGCATTGTCTCCTTTGATTGGCAGCAGCCCTTCAAGGTCTCAGCTAGGGGTCCTGCAGGGCCTGCTGCTTGATATTATTTAAGTGGAGATGTGGAGGCCTGAACCTCTTTCAGGCAAAGCACCTGCTCTGCTGCTGATCTGCAACCAACCCCACGCCCCGATATCTTAGCCATTACTTACTCCTACTTTTTCTCCTGACATATTACCAAACAAGAGCACAGTCTATCTCCAAGAACTGCTGCCATTCATCCCGTGCTCCCTTTTGCCTCTGTCAAGCTTTAGACTGTAAGCTCCATGTGGCGGAGACCTATCTCTCTTCATTATTTTTACTTTGCAGTAAAGACCCCACATATACACTGGTGTTGTAAATGATTTCCGACATGGCGTATGGACAGTTCTTGGCTGAGGCATTACTGAATGCGATCTCGCTTGAACAGTGGGCATTTGGTAAAACGTGCCTCTTCTCCCACCCCTCAGGCTTGATAGACTTGTTGTACTTGACGGAGTTGTGCTTTGCCTCTTCCTAGACTTGTCAAGTCTGAAATCACTCGGATGTGTTTGCCTTAGAAATGGCATGCTTTGGATCTTCTTCCCCGTGGATACTTGGACTGGCATCCTAGCCTGTCTTCGATTTACGATTGCCATTTCTGGATCTGTTGGCACTTAAGTTGAGACACAGAGATTCTGTATGAGATTTCTTTCTTGGTTGTCCAGCAGCTTTCTTGGCAGCACCCAAAGAATAAACATAATCTGGGAAGGGGGAAAAAACTTCCTTCTGGTTCACGGTGCAGCTGTCTTTTATTTTAGCGTGCCGCAGAAATTTGTTTTTGTGACATGCTGCTTTATCTGTCCAAAGGTTCCATATGCATGTTGCTGTAATTCCAGTTCATTTGGAGATGAAAGCCTAGAATGTTGGCACAGACTCTGAATTGAGCCACAGTCTACAAGCTTGTTTCACCCATATCTTGAAGAGCTTGAGGCAGGTGAAATTGCACAAATGTTAAAAGACACTGCCCCAGCCTCAGAAATGCCAGTCAAGATGAAACACATACAGTGTGTAATGTTTTAGGAAGATGTATAGCCTTGGGTGATAGCATGTCACCTGAGGAAGAGTGTGTGTAGGTGTTGCCTTTCTAGTGCATTTTTGCTGTCAGAATAGAGCTTGTAGATGGTATAGCAAAGACAGTTGCTTTTCGGTGATCCTATAACAATGTAGTGGGGATCTTTTAGGAGCAGAAGAACTCTCTTTTGGACTCTTACGACTTTTAGCCTTTATAGATTCAACCCAAGCTTAAATTGCTTCCAGAAAAATGTGTATCCAGTGCAAATGGTGACACATTGGTATTCCAGCAGAACCGCCCCCCCCCCCCCGCCCCACCACTCAAATAAGAGGCAGGTGGCAACATTTTAGACCAGTGTAAGATTGCAAACAGTCACTTAAGAAGTAGCCCTGTGGCATGACTTTTTGCTGGGAGTAAAATGCTTGTTGCTTTGGGAGGTTGGAAGGACAAGACATTCAGCCACAATGAAATGCTTTGGGTTGATGTGAACCTGCAGATAGAATTTGCAGAGTTCTGAAAGGGACACCACACCACATTTAACAGCCCACAATAATGTGGCAAACCAACCTCAAGGCCATGCGGAAGTGGGTGAAAGAGCAATGATTTGGGGGTTAGTTTCTCTCTTGCCCTTCTCACCCAGCAAACCCACAACTGCTGATTTGGATGGACTGTGCAACTTTGATACAGCCCAGCATGTACTTTAGAACGGATTGGTAAAACATCCAGTAGCAGATTTGTTCAAATGTAAAAACTTGCTTGAATGAAAAAATCTATTAGGAGGAAATCTGTAGAGTAGACTTGAAGGTTGCTGCCTCTTGGCATGGAGGGTCCAATGCTATTCATCCATTAGTGAAACAGAAGCCACTGGCAGAATGGATTTCAACTCTTGAGGGTTGAGGAAACCTCTGTAGAAAGTTTGGGACATGCATAGAAGGGAGAAGATGATGGGGCAGTTCCTCCCACCAGGGGAAATCTCATTGAAGTTGGGACCAAACTAAAACGCACTAAGCAGGGAAGCCTAGTGACTGATCAGTGCACCTTTGGGGAGGCAGCTCATTCCTTTCTCAGCCTTCCCCAACCTGGCACCCTCCAGTTGTGTTAAACTGCAATTTCCATCATTCCCAGGTAGCACCAGTTGAGGAAGACACTTTTATTTGCTGTTTATAGTGGAGTATGTTGGGGTCAGTGGATGGGAGAGCTGTAGGTACTATTAACTATTTATTTGGGGAATTCAGTGTCCTCTTCTTCAAGAGCCAGAATAAATCCTGGCAAACGCTTTCATCCCTAGCACTTTAATAAACAGAGGAAATCTTGTAAATCCATAGTCTTTCTCCACTCCAGCTAAAACAGTACCTTGTCACAAAGCTTAGCCCTGATTTAGACAGGACGTATGCCATCCGGAAAGTAGATACCTCATGCACCCCATAGGCTTAGATGGGCAGAAGCTTCACCATAGTCTGTCCTGTATACAATGTGGCCCTAGAATGACATGGGGAAGACCATATAACAATTCTGCCTAGATATCCCTATTTTCTTCTTATCATTCCTCCTGTTTTGCAGACATACAAATAACTAGAGCTGAGACTACAAGGCAGTGGCTTGTTCAAAGCTACCTAGTAAGTTTATGGCCAAGTGGAAATTTGTGACAGGGCTCTCCTGGTTTACAGCCCAGTCTATTAGCCCACTTCCCCAGCTCCCAGAGGTCAGTGTATTTGTTGCTCCTTGGCTGTGCTTGAAGGTTTTGTTTTTAAAATGTGAACATCTTATTTATTGTACAAAAAAGACTTTTGAAGCCCAGTTGGCTTCCATATGTTTCTGAACTGAGCAGATATACAGTGGCACTTGGAAGTAAGAGCCACTGTATTCAGTAGACATTATTAAGAAATGTTGTGTGTGAAGATTTCAGCCCTAAAGAAGCCATCCCTTGACACCAGGGATGGACTATTTGTGACTCTACAGCTGTTTTGGCATAGAATGTCCATCATCCTTTGCCTTGGATATGATTGTTCTGGATGATGGGAATTGGTTAAATACATATGGCCAACACATATGGAGGGACACAAGCTACCCTCCCAGATTCACAGAGACACAGTAGTGTAGTCTCATATTCTTTAGTTTAACAAGCTCCAGAGTGCAAAGAACAACAGTAACCTTACCCAGTCCTTCAAAATCGATAGCATGGCATTAACCTACCAAAGAGGTTGAAAGCAGGTAATATCCTGAAGGGCCAAACCCCATTCCTGACAGAAACTGAAGAATGGTGCCTTTAAAAACAGAAGAGGGGAGCGTCCTTCGTGTAGATCTACTATTCCCACAAAGGAAATAGGAAGATTTGCAACATGTTATACAGCAGTTTCTCACATTCTGCACCAAATATTTCTCACACTGCACTAGTGCTTTGCTATCCACAGCAAACACATACAATTTGGTTAACAAACGCTCATCTTCAAATACCCATGGACACATGGGGTCTACAAAAGTGTTCTTCAGACATTTCTTCTGAGGTGCTAGAGACGTGAAGTTTGGATTGCAGACATCTGTTAGGCAAAGAGAGTGCTTGAAACATGGCCCACAGCCTGTAGAGCAAACCTAGCTTAGCAACTGAAGTGACCTATGCCTGTCGGTGAACAGAATGGGGGCTCAGCCACCCCTCTGGCCCCTTGTACCCCATGCGTTTGTTGAACAGAGAGGACTTGCCAGGGCGCACCGTGCACGAAACCTGCAGGATTCTTTCTTTCCACAGAGCTTGATTCTTGAATGACTGGCACAGACTCTGTATCTGTATATCAATGCAATAAGAATGGCCCTGTGACTGCAGAACTATTACGCATTGCTGTTCTATGTTGCAATTTAGAATCTTTAGGTAGGTTTCCAACAGTTGCAGGTACATTGGCTGTTCCCATTCACAGAGCCGGGTCATGTTACACATCTGGTACTCCTAGATCACATCCTCGGAAAGCCCCACAATGCTTGCTTCTCATATTACAGCGTAAGTGTGGCAAAAAGCTGCACAAGTCAGTCTCTGCTGCTGCAGTTCCTGATTTAATGTACTATATAACCAGTCCATAGACAGGTTTCATAGGCAGAGGCAGGAAAACAAGAAGAACTTCCAACTTCAGTTATAACTTTTCAACACATTCATCCCAACACATTCATTTCACCGCATAACAAGCTATCACAAATTAACAAAATAGAATAAATAATGAAGGAGAAGGAATGGGGCATCTTAACAACCAGATTACAAAGCCTAACAAGTAGAGCATATTCTTCTTTAGCCCTGGAGGTGGTGTTCAGCCTGGGTTTTTTGTTTTTTTATTTTCTATTTTTGCACTCACAGAAATGTCTTTAGGTGCACTTAAATATGGAAGAAGAAGTAACAGACTTTGACTGGAAAGTATGACTAGTTATCTGAAAGCTTGGCTTCGGTTCCGGGCCTGGCTTTAGCTTTGTGTGGAGCCCTTAGCCCTGGCTGGTCCTTCAAGCTGCTTCTCTAAACCATAGCTAGCTAGTAGTATCTCTGAGTAGGATTAACTTCTGATACAAAGACAAAAACAAGATTCTGCTGCAGGGACAGGGATAGAACCAGTCATGGTTAAGCTTTCTTTCTTGAAAAAGTGTTTTCCACCCATGTTCGTTTTAATGCAGCCTTGAGGGCCTTGGCTGAAAAACAAAATCTTATGTTTTTCATTTCTAGTGATGGGATCCCTCCTTACAGACTTGGGAGCAAGAAGCAGCTCCAGAGAGAAATGCATCGTAGTGTCAAGGCCAACGGTCAAGTTTCTCTACCTCACTTCCCAGTAAGTACAAGAGATTTTGAGGCGGAGGAGAAAGTTTATAAGGCCCGAAAGCACTAATGATCTATTGCAGTAACCAAAGAGAAATGCCTGGGGAATGCTAGAGTCACAGGTCCTCTTTGCCCATACCCTCTTGCTCTATGGATAATAATGGTCAGATATTTGGGATATACAGATGCATCTTCTTTGGAGGAAATATATCTGAAGTTCACATTTCATCCAATAGTTCACTTAAATGATAGCAGACATAGACATCTGTCTTCTACCAGGATAGACTGTGGCCATTAGCCCAATTCCATAGAGCCACGTGATGGATTTTCACTCCATATTACTGCACCATGTATGGGGAAAACTGCTGCTTCTCTGAGCAATCCTGCCCATGAGGGTTTCTTATTTATAGCAAAGCTTATATTTATGGGCATAGGGATCTCTCTGCTATGATAAAGAGTTTCACAAGTCAAGCTCTTGCCACTGTCCTTCCCAAACACTACACCTCAACCAGCCAACCTTCCCCTTCACTCTCCACAGACTAACTCCAACCAGTCATACTTCACCTGTCATTTCCCAGCTGCTCTTTCTTCCCTGGCTAGAATACTCAGCCAATCAGAACTGAATTTACCCCATCTAACAATACTCAAAGCTACGAGGTCTTTTGTTACCTCCTCGGAAGGTCACTAGCAACTGCTGCACAGACCTTTGGCTTCTGCACGGTAAAGGAGGCCTTTGGCCTATGCGGATGCTTTGTAATTTCATTGAGCCTTCAGGAAAGATGCATTATATAACAATAGTAGTTGTATATAGGACATTTCTCCACATCTCTCCCCTTTTCTGGCTGCCTGATTAAGAAATATCAGTGCAAACTTTCCCCCCAATTTCCTATATTGAAAGGAAGGAACAACCTTGCTTTCACCAACTGGATGTATTTATAGACTAATTTTATTTGTAGGATCCTTTCTTTTGTTTTTCAACACTAAGCTGAACTGTTGACTTACTTACTGAGGATGAAAACTTTAAATATTCCTTCTCACATGTAAAATTCAGTTAAAGAACTATACGCACACAGCTTTTAGGAAAAAAACATAAGACTCAGTTCTGTATTAGCTTACTTTTCTACACCTTGCATGAATGGAAATAGTCTTGCATAGTGTACCATATCTGAGTTGGAAAATTAGCTGTTCACCCTTTTGCTTGTTTTCTGCATGGTCAGGTGCTCTGTGCAAAGAATATCATGTGCTAGTTCCAAAGTGTGTTCTCTGTACATATTTGGAACATCAAATTGGTTTAAGGTTCCAATTTCAGTTCCTATTTTTAGGCCAACATATCCAAAAAGTAAACCATCTTTCCAGGTCAGTCTCTCTCTGCTTTTGCTGGAATTTCCCATGGTCGAGCAGCTTCTGTGAGACTTCTGGTATTGGACCCCCATCTCTGGAATAACCTGCCTGCTGTGACCTGCCAAATTTGCCATCTTTTTGGCTCCAGGCCAAGACAGCCCTCTTCGTGGATGCCTTTTAAGACCTCTCTGGTCATTCAGGGGCCTGGCACAATTAGTCAGGTGCCTTTTTATTCTTGGCTGGCTCCTTTTAATTGTTTTAATTTTAGGCTATTTTAAATTAATTTTTAATTCTTGTTAATTGTTTTATCTATTGTATTTTACTGTTTTTAACCCTTGTTTTAAACTGCCCAGAGAGCTTCAGCTACGAGTGATATAGACATGTATAATAATAATAGCAGCAGCAGCAGCTTCCCTGAGAGTTCTTCACTTCCTCTTTAAACATTTTCCCATTTTGGAACTTAAACTATGCACCTATTTCTATATTGTCAGATACTTCTGGATCACTTACCAACCTTTGATGTAAACTTACATCTTCCTCACCTTCTTGTATGGGCTGATCATCTTTCTCTTCAGTCAGAACCATATTATGAATAGCCTGAGAATTTGTAGTCCGACTGTGTTTGCACTTACAGAACCCACAATGCCTCCATAGGACAAATGGATTCTCCATCACACCAGCCTCATGCAAACCTCTCCATCCCAGTGATAACCTAGTGCCTGAATGTCAAATAGAATGTTTCCCAAATCTGTGACCACAAGTAGCTTTCTGGGGGTGGTGGTGTATGTATTGTTTGGTTACCGAATCAGCTTTTATTAGTGATACAGATGTTTCTGCATCCAACATTCCCTTGCTGCTTTTATCCTGTAGTTGAATAAGTTCTTTGCACATGGAGTTTACCTCCTCAGCATTTGTTATCACAATGCTACTGGTATGTTTCACCTTTTGTACCACCTCTTCTCCAGTCTTGTTTGCCTTGTATCCACTAGGTCCTTGTTTACCTCCACAGGTCCTTTCTTGTTCAGGGCACTCTGCTTTAAAATGACCTCTGTGGCTACAATCATAGTAATTCTTCCCCATTCACTGAAGCATTGCAGTGTTAACTTTTTGCTAATTCATTATTTCTTTGGCCTGGATAAAAAGCACTTTTTATTGGAAATACTTTCTTTACCTTGTAAGCAAATTGGTTATCATTTTGAAATCATGATGTTTTAGTACCGTAACTTCCATGAATGAGAATCAGGTGGCTTGCGATTTCTGCAGCCTGCTTCAGGGTTTCTGGTGCCCTGTCTTGTATCTTGACCTTTATGTTACTGGAGATTTGAAAATAAAACTGATCCAGATCCATCAATTCAACCATTTTTTCTAAGCATCTACCTTGGCCCTTTAATCCATTCCCACAACAGAGCTTACATGTTAATTGCAAGCTGCATCATAGACCTAGATCCCTTCAGGTGAACCTGTTTAAAATGTTCTAATATTCTGAGGGTCCAACTGGTACTTTTTATAAACCATTTCCTTGAATTCCAGATAAGATATGTTTCCATCACCTGGTGTGCCATTAAAAACCATGTTTTATGAAGTCCACCCACTGAATCCCCAGCTCTTGGCAGCTGTTTTCAAGAAAGGACAAAAAGTGATTCAAACGTCGTCCTGCGATAAAGGAAGCAAAGCCCTTTCGGGTCACTCTCGTGGGCTGCTGTTGAAGTGGGCCACTTGGGTGAGAGTGTAAGGAGTGTAACCACCCTTTTCCAAACTCAGATTTATCAGCACACTGTTGAACTGCCATCTGCATATGCCTTTTGTCAGGCGGTTCTTGGTCCTTACAGTGCTCAGCCATGTGCCAAAGCAACACTTCGCACTGCATACACTTTTCTTCCAGCTGCCTCTGTTTTATCATGATCCAGCTGAAAGTTACTTGTTTTTATCTCTGGCTTTCTGCAACCACTTCTCCTTCAGCCTGCTCTGTTCTCAAGTCAGCTGCATAGCACCAGGCAACACTGAGCTAACATTTGCCACTGTTGCATCATCATGTCTAAAAGGCATAACTCCCCACTACTGCCACCACCTATGGGGAAACTACTCCTTCCCTGGGCAGCCTCACCTATGGGGTTTCTTATTGGGCCATCCATTCCTAGGGCTAAGGAACTCTCTGTCATTATAATAAAGAGTTCTGCAAGCTAGCCCTTTCGCACTGCCACACATTCTGTTAGAATATGTTATAACCCATACTAGCTGAGATGGGCATCAATGAAGGAGACAAACTGCACAATTAAACAAGCAATATCCTGAGGGAACATTTTGTAGAAAGGGATTACTTAATAGTTACTTTCAGGGCTACTCAAAAAGTAACTTCACAGAGCCTACATGAAGTTACAGAAGCACAATAAGTTATATACTGGACATTTTCCCATAAGCCATCTTTCTCATCCCACTCTCTGGCTGCTGAGAGTCTAGGTTTGCTCTCCAGATGGCCTTCCTAGGAATCCTTCCCTCTTTAAGTTTTGTTTGGGTACATGAGAGAGAGAAAGAGAGGGCGTGGGACACTGGTGAGCAGGTTGCGAAGATATGAAGTGGTAGAGAAAAAAAACACTAAGCAATGCAATAAAGTCTACCCAAATTTGGCTTTAGGTCTGCATATGACATCAGATTTGGCCTTCAACATACTTTTTCCCTTCACTGGAAGAAGGTTCTCCACCCTTGACATAGCCAAATATAGTCTACTCTGACTGGCAGCATCTCATGGGCAAATGGTCTTTCCTGTCACCTGTTACCAAATACTTTTTGAAACTGAAGATGCTAAAGACTGAATCTGGAACACTGAATGCGAAGAAAATGCTCTACCACTGAGCTCTGACCCCTTCCCAGTCTTTTATTCTTCATTCTGCAAACTTAATCTTACAGAGTAATAAAATAAGCCATGCATTTTTAATGTCAAGGGTTAAATCATATCTCTCTTTGTTCAGCCATGAAACTTTGACTAGGCTAAATAATCTATCGATAAGCTTTTATGCCAGTTCTTTTTCAGTTGCATCACTTTGGAAAAACTATAGGCCACTTTAGTTGTTTCAGACCAATTTGGTCACAATGCAGAAACCAATGCTTATTCCCCACCCCTCAAAAATTAAAATATGAATATGTGACTGTACAAGGACACATGGAAGCATTGCTCCCTGCTCCACACCATTTTTCTGCACTGTCAGGCATAGGAAATATCGGCAGCAAGTGTCCAGGGCTGGAGCACCAGTACCAGTAGAGGGTGATCGCAGCAGAATCCAGGAGGGCCAGAGACAAAAGTGAGGTCAGGAACAAGCAGGGACCAGATATCCAGCAAGGCATGGCAAGTCTAAAGGAAAAGGCAGAGCTAAGAACAAACAAGATCAGATACCAACAAGTCATGGCAGATCAGAAAGCAAAGGCAGAATCCAGAACAGGCAAGGATTGGATTCCAGCAAGGCATGGCAGAACCAAAGGCAAAAGCAAGATCAGGAACAGGCAAAGATCAGGTAACAACAAGTCATAGCAGTAGCAGAAGCAAAGGCAAGGTCCAGAGGCAAGCTGAGGTCAAATATCAGCAAGAGAAAGCAGGGTCCACAGCAAGATGAGTTCAAAAAGAACAAGGATGAGGTAAGGCAAGGGCAGAGGCAGGCGCTGACAGGAGAGAAGGCATGGGCAAAGCAAGGCTGGAAGCAGCATCAGGACCATGGTATTTGCCACCATAGATAATTTTCCAGAGCACCCAGCTGCACACAGTGTAATTACACAGGTTCCAATCCTTGCAAGTACCCGCAAATGTGATCCTATCGTGTGTTCACTGGCACAGTGAACCATACTGCAGATTTTGGTGTACATGGCTAAACCAAGGGATCAGGAATCCTATACCAGCAGCAAGTCAGTATGGTGGACCAGCTGTCTAAAAGTGCACTTCATCAGGATACGTTAGTGGGGAGTAGAAGGTAGCTCTCAGGGTGATTTTGAGTTGGTCAGCAAAAGTGTCTGAATCCCAAGTTTGTTGTTTTTTTTAAACAAGAATAGCACAAAATAACTCCTCCCGACAATTATCCTAGGAGTAGATTTTGAAAGGTAGTTTTTGTTGCTCAGTTCTGACACTTAAAAGACATCATTGGGTTCAGAATTCTTTACTTCCTAGTGTCTTACACTAGCCTCTGGATGGTTAGTCTTGGGATTCTAGGGGGAATAAAGGGAAAAAGTAGATTATGGAGGACTGAACTTTGTCCACCTCTGGGTGCACCATCTGGATCTTAAACAAGTGAACAAAAAGTTTCCAAAGAGTTTAATTCCTGGCAGATGGGAAGTTACTCCTAATGGAAGCTTTTCCCCTACCCCTTCCTGTTTTCTTTGGGTGTGCTTGCACAATCACTTCAGCCCACTATGGCTTATTGTACTGTGTGCTGGTGGTCATTTTGAATATTTAACCTTGGCAGGAGTTGCCTTGATTTGCTATGTCGTCCAAATCCAGGTAGCAAGGGCTGTTGGAAGGGCAACAACCTTCAAATAACCCAGGGTCTGTTGTAGGGGGAAATAAGCTGCAGTGGGCTATGAAACATGAAAACCCAGTCGTTGTCTCTGGAAAGCTACTTCCATAATAGCTTGAAGTTATACTGAAACTTTCCTCAACCCTTCAGATGAGTGAGCTACAGCTTCCATCGTCCCCAGCCAGCAGAATCAATGCGAAAGGCTGCTATTTTTCCTCTGCTTCAAGGGCAACCCAGATGATAACCTGGCAGTCATCTTTGTTCTTCACCTGGAAGCATCTGGCCAGCCACTATAAGAAAAAGGTTGCTGAACTAGAGAAACTTTTAGAAATGTCTTGTTTCCATCCTATTGTACCAAACCTTCCCCAGCCTGATGCCTCCCCGTGCTGTTGGACTACAGCACCCACAATTTGGGGTAGTTACTCAACACTGCTGGAGGGCACCCTTGTCACTGGATTACATGTGCCTGATCTTTCTCTTTCCATGGAAAAGGTAGAAATCTCTTCCCATCCCCCCCCTTTTTTTTGCGGGGGGGGGGGCGGTTGGAGGCCATTGCTGTGGACCTGCTTATCTTGTCTCCTGTCCATTTTAAACCATACAAGAAAAGGACTTGGAGAAGATGGGAAAGCCCGTCTTAAATCTCTTCTCTAACATCCATGGCTGATTTTTTTTTAAATCATGCCTTGTATTTTCTGCTCTGCTTCAGGTCCTCAAAGAGAGGGAAGCTCACCAGGAGAAATCCTGTGCTCATTGAAGTCAGTGGGAGCTCTGTTCTTTATCTGAGCAAAGCCAGGATTTCTCCCACCATTAGCAACTTCTTGGCAGGAAATAGATTTCCCAGTTCTTCCAAAGGGAAGAGATTATTTGTACCAAACGGTTACTCCCCCAAACCCCCTGCATGCACACGCACATACACACACATGTACTCTCTCTCTTACATGTACATACACATACTCCTATCCATATTCAGATATAGATACAGATATTTAAATCACAGCTTGCACATCTCTGGATATTTCACTTCCCTTTTCATCTAAATGCAGCAGATTTCAGGAAGATGCTAGCGTAATTCTTCTAGTGAATAATTATCTGCAAAATTGTTTACATAGACAAGTACAAACTTATCTTGTCTCATGATTAGAATAACCAAAATTCCTCTTCCTGCTGTCTCCTTAAGTAGTGAGGGGGGTGTGTGTGTGTGTGTGTGTGTGTAAAAGAAGTATGGAAGTGCTTTGTTTCTGTGTGCTTTATTTATTTATTATATTTTGCTCTTCTTCCATAAAGAAAGTTCTATAGCCTCTGCTTGTAAATTAGATTATTTTGTCCTGGGGCGTGCAAATCGACTTTCTCTGTAAGGCTGTGCTTTGATCAGGGAACTGAATAGAGCCAGCTTGTGTAAGAGTGACAATTTCCAGCAGAGTGGCCTTTTTCTACCCTCACATCATTTCTGAAGCTAAGTGGTTGCCGGAGAGAGAGGGAGAGAGAGGCCCCACCTCATCTCATGGGTAGTATGTGAAAGAGTTGGCAGTTCAGATTTCTGCTTTTTTAAAAGTGTGTGTGTGTATGTGCATGCATGTACAAGTATGTGTTGTGTGTGTATGCAGAATTTAAGGGCAAAGGAGAGAAATGGGGGAGTGCTTTTGGGGGGATGTGAGCAAAACTGTGATGGGGGGCTTTCCCCCATTCTTTGCTTCTTTTGGCAGAGATATTCGTTTGCCTTTTTATATTCTACATTTGATTTGGAGATGTTCCCTTTTCCCTTGATAGATCTGCTTGAGGCAGCCACGCTCAGCAGTGTATCACTGCTTGCCTGCAGCAGCTTCCTTCATTTTCTGTACAAAGAGTTGGGGCGGGGGGAGAAAAAGAGAGAGAGAGAGAGAGAGAGAGATCTAGGACACTGTTGAGACAACACTACCTCAAAGGTGCCCAGTGTGTAGCCAGGAAATAAATTACCAGCACTTCTCTGATCTGCAACCGTTTGACTTCTTTTTTCCTCAGTTCCCTTCCCTTTTTCTCCCCCATCTTATTTTTTTTTTAATTTCCAACTCCTTTCTGTTTATACTCCACTTTTATTCCTTGAGTTAAAGTCTCTCCCTCCCACCTCAGAGTTTTTTATTTGATGTTTGACAACAGTCTTTGAAGATTTTCTACTTCAGAGTAGCTACTGATGGGCTGGTTGTACTACAGAGAGAACAAGCAGGGTTCCTCGGAGTGCGACCAACTGCTCCTGCCGAAGGCAAACGCTATTGGGGAGGATGTCACTCCATGAGGCCACAGCACTAGCTCATAAAAATCCAGAGCAGACCATGCCTAGTTGCGGTCTTCTTTTCATCCAAACATGGAGACACAACAAGCTCTACGGGGCCAGAAATGCTGCTTGGGCTGAGCTTCCTTGGCTTGCACTGCTTGCTAAACATGGCTCATTGTCTTTGTCCCCGCGCTGCGTAGAGAACCCACCGTCTTCCTAAGGAAATGACCCCCGTGGAACCAGCTACTTTTGCAGCTGAACTCATCTCTCGGTTGGAAAAGCTGAAGCGAGAGCAAGAAACCATGGACTCTTTGGAGGAGAGGCTGCAACAAATCACAGAGGTAGGTGGATTAACCCTTTTGGCATGGATGCCTGCGGGTGTTCAGCCTCCCTTTGCTAAGGTTGGGTTGGTGTGGCACTGGGGAAGACAAACACGCTTGTGATGACAAGAGCACTGGCATCGTACGGCATATTTTTCAGAGTGGAGGCTATCTGTTGATTCTTACTTAGGCATGTACTGCACTTAAACAAAACCAAAACCTCAGTGAATCTGCCCACCCACCGCGTCATCTTCCTATTTCACTGGTATTCGAGCTGTCTTGGTACCTTACATGTATAACAAACCTAACTGTGTAGCTCTGTTCTTTCCTTGTGAGGCTACTGTTTGAAGGAATAACTAGATCTCTTATTCAGGTTGCTTGCTTGCTTGCTTGATAGTCTTCATCTTTTCCCTTTGAAGGATGAGGAGAAGGAAGTATCAGACCTACCTGTTAGTGCACAGAACAGCCGAGAAGTTACAGTGATGCAACACCAGCAGCACCCGCTCACCCTCTTACCATCTGGCAGCTATGAGGACGACCCTCAGGCAATCCTGGACGACCATCTTTCCCGAGTGCTGAAGACCCCAGGGTGCCAGTCTCCCGGCATGGGGCGGCACAGCCCTCGTGCACGCTCTCCAGACCGCCTCCCCAGCAGCAAGTTGCTGCTGACTCCAGGCACAGCCTCCACCCCTACGACCTGTGCCCTGGTCAGCAAAGGATTTGTCACGAAGCAAACCACCAAGCACGTGCACCACCACTACATCCACCACCACACCATCCCCAAGACAAAAGAGCAGATAGAAGCTGAAGCAGCCCAGCGGGTCCAGTGCTTGTGTGCCGGGGGCAGTGATTATTACTGCTACTCAAAGTGCAAGGGGCACTCGAAGGGGGCAGACCTTCCTGTGGCTCAGCTAGAGCCATTCAGGTGAGTTTCCTTTTGAGCATGTTTTGTAATTGAGCGAAGGGGGAGGGTCAGGATCTAGCTGCAGTGTTGTGAGCAATGTCAGCTTTTCTGAACATGGGGATTGTTGGTGGCTTGTGAAATCCTAAAGCTTTGGTGTTTGCGGAGGGGGGGCAGGAGAGGCAGTGAGGGGTGATGGCAGTGCGCGTGTGTTTTTGCCATAACTGACCCCTGTGACAAGCTAAGTGCTCTTCTTTCTTCTCTCATGGAAGCATCGGCAGAACTGGGACACTACCAAAAAGGAACTGTAAGCTACCAGATGGCCTTGTCCTGCCAGGTGGGGAAGGAGGAGGGGTTTCCATACCACCAGGGATCCAGCTACCTGGAGGGGAGGCGGACCACTCACATAACGTCTGGCAGTGGATGCTCGAGAGTGAAAGACAATCTAAGCACAAGCCCCATAGGTAAATATAAGCTGTCTGCAGCACTGTTGCTCCTGGTAAATATTTATCTATTACACAGCTGTCTATTTTTACAATCACTAAAAACAAATGAAGCTCTTTTGCTCCTCCAGTTTAATATGAAAGCTGTTCTGCGGAACCAGAAAAACCACAAAAATGTCATGTTTTTGGCAAGAGCCCCTTTTCATGTTATGACAGACTTTTCTTTTCTTTCTTGTTTTTTTGAGAGTGCACAGAACAGAAGCTGCTATTAAAATCATATTTTCCAGCTTTTATAACCTTGTACCTTCCTTCCCCGTCTCTCTTCCCTCAGCTCACAAAGCACAAAGAAGGCCTACAACTCAGAGTCCACCAGAGGCACATTCGCGGAGCGCCCCGCTCGTCACCATCTGTGGGGGAACAGCAGCCACCTGCGTGGTGCTCAGCCTGCTCACCCCTTTGTCCAGGACCCTGCCATGCCCCCGCTGCCACCACCTAACACCCTGGCCCAGTTAGAAGAAGCGTGCCGCAGGCTGGCGGAAGTGTCCAAGCCACCGAAGCAACGGTAACTTCCCACAGGTTGGGAGTGGGTGGGGTTGAAGCCCCATTTCTGCTCAAACCGGTACACACCCTGTGAAAGATGAGCTGGTGCAGGGGTCTGCTCACACATGGCTTCAAAATCTGTAGATCACCTAAAATGAGATCTAAAAAATGTTTATATCTAGACCCTAATTAGTTGGTGATTTAGGGCAAAAAGAGAGTCAATTTAAGTTATTACATGCTTAGGTATGATGAATGCTTGGAGAATAAAGGAGATGGCTTGGGAAGACTGTGTTGCTGATTATTTTCTACTCATTTCCTCCAGATAGATGAGTTGGGATTAAAGCACTGTGCCCAATCACTAACCCAGTATGTTTTTCTAACTAGGAAGAGAGTAGTTTAGTTTAAGTTCAACAGATACCTTTTAAGATGAAGAAACAGAACTGCTAAAAACAGTCTAATTTGCAAGTAATCTTGAGAGTGAGTTACATTTTTGTTTTATCATGTCACCCTATATTTTTAAAGTTTTAGCATTAGCATGTGCTTTTGGCCTTTTGTTGTGGAACTCTCATAGGCTCAAGTTTGTAAATAGGGCTGCAGCTAAACTGAAACATGATCTTGTGCCCTCCAGATTTTTCAATTACATTTTCCATCAGCCCCAGCCAACATGACCAAGTATCAGTGATGATGAATTTGTGGCCCAGTTTTTCCCTCTTTTTCACCATAAAGCATTAAAATACTGCATTCTCCTTTTGTTTATTTTTAATGGTCATGTAATTGTTTCTGGACTGTATTGAACTGGATCCAATTGTGGTTAATTCTGGGCCATTCAATAGCTCCTTGAGTGGTTCAGAAGAATTGGTCAAAGTGATGCTTTTGCTGTCTTTCACTGGAAGGTACTGGGTTACTTTCATTCTTGCATCCTTAATTCTCCCCTTGTTTTAGCTCATAGATCTTAGATGTACAAATGGGATTTTGAGAAGCTCACTTGTTTCTTTCTCTTTCCTCTCCTCAAACTCTAGAAGTTCAGCTTCAAATCAGCCAAGGGATCGCAACCACTTGACTTCTGTACCAGGAGGAAATGGTCCTTTTTGCAATGCAAGTGTAGCAGCAGAAGAGTGAGTGTTTTCAACATATATAACATATAGCTTAAATGCTTGCTAGTTTGTAAACATATTTTATCAATAGAATAGTGCTTTGAAAATGGAGCCTCTTCTTGGAGACTTAGTAGAGTTTTTTAAAATGTGGGTGAAACAAGAACAAAACATTTCCAAATCTTATCTTCTGATTCTTTTTAGCTTGCATTCCTATAAAGTGGACAAAGATTGGATTAGTCTAATTACAGGATAGTTCTTTTTTTAACAAGAAATCCGCTACAGTCTAAATAATTAAAGTTTTCTTTCTTACGCTCTTCATCTTAAGCAATGAGTAATGTTTGAAGTCCAAGCTAAGCCACCTGACTATAGGCTTTCATTTTTAATTGGTTGACCTTAAGTCCACCAGCTGTCTTTGCTAGTAGCTTTTTTCTCCTCCTGAAGCCACTCTACAAAGACTTGGAACAAATTAGGAAGAGTAAATTACTGTGGAGTAACACTTTGTGACCTTTTGACATGCCAAGTCAGTGTTGCCTCAGAAGTTGCCTCCATGGCATTCAAGGCACTGTTGCTACTCTGCTAGGTAGCTGGGCTATTTGTTATTCTGTAAGACAATCTCTGTTCCTCATGCTTCCAAGGTGTGAAGAGGGCATTACTTTTTCTGCCACTTCCACTTGCATCACAGGGCCAAGGCTCAAAACATCTGTATACCTGCAGCTGCAGAATCTGATGCAACAGGCATGTATCCAGCATGGAGCAGGAAGTTCTTGATAGGCACATTTTTTGCCCTTGTTAAGTGAGGTCTTTTTGAATTTTACCAGTTCAGAGCACTGGTAAACCTGACATCCAAATCCTGCTCAACTGGACACCTTCCAGATGTGTTGAATTATAACATCTGTGATCTCCAACCAGCAGTGGGAGTTGTAGTCGAATACATCTGGAAGCACCAGATTGAGGAAAGCTGGTATAGAAGGCAGTATAGAGTATTTCTTGATTTAAATGAAGAGGAAAGGCCTTTCTCATGTGAAGCGCCATGTCTGAGTTAGAACCACTCAAAATGTGGGTTATAAAACTTGGGGTATTACATGCCCCCTCAATAAAATAGACCAGATTCTATCCTTAAGTGCTGTGGAGACTTAGATAATAAGGAGCACTAAATACACTAAAACAGACCATGGATTATCTAAGGATCGTTTAACCCTTGCATAAACCAGGGTCATAGGGTTCTCACAATGTGACAGCTTCCAAATGGGGGTTGCATGTTCAGAATGGCAATATGTACATCTGAAGAAGAAAAGACAAGGGAGTCAAAAGGGCCAGGGTTACTACTCTTGTCAGTTAAAGATGATGATAGTCCAACACTGGGAGGGCCTCAAGTTCTCCAGCCCTACAATAGGGACACCAAAATATATTATGTACAAATAACATTTTAATTAGACAGTTATGGAATTTAAATGTTTAAGTACAAGATAATGGATGAAATGTGATTTAAACCATATTGACAAAGGTTCAAAAGTCAACTACTGTAATTTTTAATGAAAAAGCATGATAGCTAGTTGCTTGGTTGATTTTAGGAGATCCTTTTCATCCAATTTGTATTGATGAAAGTTCAAACCATTAACATGGAAGAACAATAATAGTCCTACCGCTTCCTAATCAGGACTGAGTTCTTCTCCTTGGAAGCTTACCAGACATATTCTGTGGAAATTTTGGATGTTCTTTAACCCTCAGAACCATAGCAGAAAGCTTCCTCAAGACTCATTCTTTCTCAGAAAGCACATATATAGATTTCAGCTCTTAAGAACAGTTCAGCTCAGCTTTCTTAAGGAATCACCATCCTGGGGCAGAGTGAAATTTGAGGGTCATGTGGGTAGGAAAATGGCCAGAGAGTACTTTGCCCAGTTGCTACCCATATTAGCCAGATCATAAAAGATGGGCAAGCCTAAACATGGAACATGGGCTTGACTGTACCAGTGCTCAGCTTCCCATGTAAGCTATCTACCCAACTCATGTACTGCATGGAGAAAAGTTTCTTTAAGGTCAGTGGTTTGTCTGTACCCATACAAATGAATTAGAAGTAGGAATGAGGCTATAGCTGCAGCCTTGGGTCCATATTTGTGGGAGCAAGTCCAGCCAAACTCCATGTGACTTATTTCTCTGTCGTTATCTGCAGGATTGCACTGGGAAGCCCTGTAGAGAGCTTTGGCCTGTGAAGCAAATAGTCTTTCAGTGATAACCCCAAACGTTATAAAAGCTAGCTTAACTTTCTCAACGTGTCAGGCTGGTAATTAAGGTTATGTATTTCTGACCTTTAACATCTTCACAATATATGAAGGTTTTTAATCAGGGGTCCTGAAACTTTTTCAATAGGGGGCCAGTTGAAAGGTGGTGGCTACACACACAGGCCGGAGAGGTGGGGGTGCCTGGGGGCATGAGCCGGTGAGGTGCCTTTGGGCGCATGCGAAGGGGCATCGGTGGCAGCTTGCTCGCTCGGAGACCATCTCTGAGCGAGCGAGCCACCACCTCCTCGCCCACGCAGCAAGTGTGCACACGGGCGGCGAACAGCGGTGCGGGCCGGATGATGGCCATGGCAGGCCGGATCCGTCCTGTGGGCCGTAGTTTGAGGACCCATGTTTTTAATACTCTGTGTGCAATATAATCCTAGTTTCTCAATGCACAAACTGTCAATGCTTATTTGTTGATCTGGCATCGATCTCCTCAGGGTTTGGTGTTTTTATTTTAAGGTCTGCTTTTGTTTTAATTTCCAGTTGCTATGAGTTGCTTTGCTTCATGCTGTTTGGCTCTTGACTATGGTATAAATGCTTTCTAAATGTTGTGAAGTCTGACCTATTTCCCTCCACCCTCTTTCATGTTTCAGTCATAAAGAACCAAAGAAACTCCCTGTTGCTCACTCCTCACAGCCGAGTGAGTTGGTTGTCACTTACTTTTTCTGTGGAGAAGAAATTCCCTATAGGAGGATGTTGAAGGCCCAGAGCCTGACACTTGGGCACTTTAAAGAGCAGCTGAGCAAAAAGGGAAATTATAGGTAAGGATCATTGTGGTTTCTTTCTTCTTTTTCTTGTGTTTGCACAGACTGTGTGCCAAAATAATCAAGAGATCTTTGTAAGTATGCCCTCACAGGGACAGATTTACGATGTCCCTTTGAAGGTTGGCTGGTGACTAGCTCCCTAGTCTTTCTGAGTTCTTGTGCCTCCTTCATATTTATCCACCAAACCAACATGGTTAATAAGTGGGTTAGTTACTCTGGCAACCAAATTAGACCTCACCTGATAGGCAGGCTCTGTAACTATGTTACCAGCATGATGGCCCTTTAAAAGTGGATGAGCCCATTGTTTTATGTAACAGATGTTCATTCAAAGTTCTTATTTCATTTTCTGGCTACATTGCCACTTTCGAACTGTTCCTTCTTGAACTAGCAACTTGATGTCCCTGCAGTTGATTATTTTTATATTTAATTATTCTCATTTTGCAGACTGGACCCTGCAAAATGGAAATGATCAGCAACACAGTTAATCAACTGCAGAGGGATTCTAATGTACATCCAACTCTTGGAGCACATAAGTGATTCTTACAAGATCACATCTCTGTGTGTTATTAGCAAGAGGGATGGAAGCCTCTGAAGTGTATTATTTCTATTATTGTTTTTTTGCACAAGGCTAAGTAAATAGCCAAGCATTGAGCCAAAGTCCTGTTTGTCCATGGAGCTTAACTGAAGTGTTGCAGCCTGCTTTATGAAAGGAAACAGCCACCTTTGAATACTGCTGTATTTAGTGGCATATTTGTTTATGGTCCTGGGTACAAATTGTTTGGAAAAGGATGCAGGTTTCACCAGGTGTACTGGAAACTGGATAGGGCAATGTGTTCCCCAGAACTGGAATCTGCCAGTGAAGATCTGAACTCTGGAAGGTACCCTTGGACAATCTGTAGAATCAACAGCATGTTTTGTTTATTTCTGTTTTTGAGCCACCTTAAGACTACTTTTATCATTAAGCTTGTGTGTCTTCTTTTGCTTGTGAGGGCATACAAGTATCCAAAGTGTGAATTTGTCCGTCTCTCCCTTAGTGAGATATATGCCTTTAGAATGTGTGCATCTTGCCACCAAATGCTCAGTTATTACAATAAGCAGGCTGTGAGAATTTCTAACTCCACATCAGTGGAGACAAATATATTGAAAACATATCTTGAAATTGCCTTAACATCAGTGTAGGCTCAAAAGCCATCTGTGAGGCTTCATTCTACACCATGACACATGATTAATCTTGTAGCTGCTATTTTCTCTCTCTTCTCCTTGTCCTTTAATGGTTTTTTAAGTTCCTAAACTGTATATGATCACCATTCTGCATTAGTCTTACACAGGAATAGTACCAATTGCACAACAGTTAGTTCAACAGTTGCCGCTTTATTCTGAGCACTGAATATTATTTTTCTTGGGTTAAATTTTGCAATTTGCTTGGCATCGTGTATGCACAACTCTATGCTTCGGTATTGGAGGTCATATTGGCCAAGTTTGGACATAATGCTAATTTACAGTCCACTTAACCAATGGGTTGTAAAATTCTGGGTTGTTGCAATGTTCACTAATATGGTTTATGAACAAATGAAAAAATGGCTTGCTGTTGGATTGAGAACTTTGGATTGTTTAAACTGTGCATTATCATTGGCTGTGTTCACACAACACGCTAAACCACCGTAACTACAAAGTCACGGTGGTTTAGTGTACTGCCTGAACCTGGTATGATGCCTGGATACCTTTTAAATCACCACAACAAGCCTGACTTCTTGTGAGTTTTGCTTGATCCTGCGTGAGTTACTGTGTTGGCCAAACCCATGGACCAAGGAGTCCCGGTCAAACAGAGCTGGTTGGCCAGAACAGCAGAGAGGCTTAGATATTCCAGCTGAATGGCTAGCAGGGGGCCAACATTGGCAGCTACTGTGCAAGTGCCACCACAGCACGTGAGGAATGGCTGGCAAAGGTTTCCTCCTGTGGCACCACAACAGAGTCCTTGGGCTTCCTCTGGAAGTAAGTTTTGTTTTTCATTTTCAAAAGCCAGAGGGCTTGAGGACATGAAAGCAGGCCCTCAGGCCCTCCTTAATGATTCAAGTGGGGGCATCTAGAAGGTGGCCCTCCAAGGATTTCCAGCAGTACTTCAGTGAGGCTGCCTGTTGTCCCCCTGCTTTAAATACATACACACTCTCACTGTGACTATCCGTGGAAATAGTTATGCCCCATTCCCCCCCAAACTACCCCTTTTGCAGAAATGGGGCAGGTAAGGATGAAAAATGATGGGCCTACTGGTTGTTGGCTGCTAGCCGAAAACAGCAGCTCCCTAATCTTTGCCTAGCACTGTCAGCAGCTGAATATTTCCCCGTTCCCTCTGCTTTGCGAGAATGTGTCAAATTGGACAGGTTGGGACCAGGCAGTGAGGCTGCACTTTGCAAAAGGGAGCTCTTCCCACCCTCAGCCCAGTGAAATGTGGGGGGAGATCTGGTGTCCCCAGATGCCCACCCTCCAATTTTGCATGCCCTCCCCCCAACTGGTAGTATGGGGAGAACCTGCAAAGCTGGAGGTAATCCCAGTTCATAACAGGTAGGACTTCATTGGAAAATTTCAAAACCCTGCCAAACCATGTATGTGTGTGTGTTTGTGGGGGGGGGCACAACCTTAGGTGGCTTCAGAGCCATGATGTACCTGCGCTCCCCAGAGAGGTCCACCTGGCGCCGTCGTTATTTGTTTTTCGGCGCCAGGTGAAGACCTTTTTATTTAAACGTCATTTTAATTGTTAACGATATTTGCTTATTTATCTGGCCAGGGCGACTTCTTTTATAACTTCTTTTATATCTTTTATTTTTTTAATTTATTTTATAGTGTTAATTTTAATTTTATATTGTTATTTTTGTATTTTATTGTATTTTATTGTGTTGTAAGCCGCCCCGAGGCTTCGGCAAGGGGCGGCATAGAAATGTTCTAATAAATAAATAAAAATAAATAAATTGTTTGAAGGGCACATCACAGCCCCTGGGCCAAAGGAGTTATGGTGTGTGGCTTACTAAGCCGAAAGGTTGGATGTTGTACACACCCTCCCATTGTGAACCCAGAACCATGGGTGGTTTATGGGTTGTTTTGCCAGACTGCAAAGGCAGCAGGCAACAGAAGGAGGCCAAGTGCTCTCATGCTGCAGCAACGATGCCACAATGGCATTAGGAGGATAGGGACTGGAAGTATGCAAATGAGAAAGGAAGTGGGCCACTTATAAATGGAGAAGGGAAGTCCTAATTTGTCTGAAAGTCTACCAAGACAAATCTGGGTTTTGGTTAGGGTCTACCAAAATCTACCCTTCCTACGTGTTCCCTGTTTCATCAAGACAGGATCTGCCTAGAGATTAAGGTTCTTGGTGGAGCTCTTCTGCAGGCCCTCTGCTGTCTCAGGAGAGGTGAGCAGGGATCTGAGACGGGATTGTCTCTGTGGCAGCATGCAGACTTTGGAACATGCTCTTTAGGGAGGTTTGCCAGGTGTTGACTATTTGGTACCACTTGGTACCATTTGAAGGCCTTTTGATTTGCCTACACTACCTTTTCAGTATGTTTTAGCTTCCCTCTGATGCTATTATCTGGCTTCTAGGGAAGTTTTCTCTGTTGCTCATTATTCTTCTTTGCCTCTTTTTGGGATGATACTGTGTTTGCAATATAACTGTAAATCGCTTTTGGGAGGTTGCCTTCTGAAAAGCAGCACATGCAAACATTGAACACCCTCACCGATGGGGCCTCAACCACCTCCTGTGGAAGCCCATTCCATACCCTTGGGGTCCTAACTGTCAGGAAGTGCTTCCTGGCATCCAAACTGAATCTTGGTCCCCTGAGCTTGGCTCCATTGGAACATGTCCTGCCCTCCTCTGCAGGGGAAAATAGGTCTCTACCCACCTCCATGTGGCACCCCCTCACGTACCTATATGTCGCCATCAGATCCCCTCAGAGTCTCCTCTTCTTTAGACTAAAAAGACCCAGCTCCCTCAGTCTCACTTCATCTGGTTTTCCCTGTAATCCTTGTGGCTCTACGTTGCACCAATTCCAACCTGGCTATATCCTACCTATAATGTGGAACCCAGAACTGAATACAAAACTCCAGTTGTGGGTGCACCAGTCATACAGAATGGCAGTAATGCCTCTCTTGATCAAGAAGCCACACTTCTGGCTATGCTACCAAGGGTGGCATTCGCCCTTTTGACCAGCGCATTACATGCGTTCAAAAGTTCCCCTGCCCAAGCTCCACAGCAACTGGTGTACAAAGGCATGCTGCCTCTGATAATAAAGGGACGCAGCCAAGAAGGCCAGTAGCCATTCAAAGCCTTCTCCTCAATGAATTTGTCCAATGTCCTTCTAAAGCCACCCAAAGTGATGGCCATCACTGCTTCTATGGTAGATAATCCATAGCATAACTATGTGCTGTGTGAAGAAGTACTTTCTTTTATCTCTCCTTTTTATCTGAATCTCCTATCAATTAACTTCATGAGGTTCTGCTCTTCAGTATGCTGTGAAATCTTTAGTGAGGGACTGTGTCAAAAGCCTTTTGGAAGTCCAAGTACAGTTTGCCTATTCTTTATTGTTGGCCTCGATGTTGTTAGGGATATGCTCCTCAAATTATTTCTTTGCTTCTTTCATGCTCACCAGCATATGCCTTGCACAAGCTTTTGTTTTCTTGTTTTCCTTAATTGGGCAAGATTTCCCATTTCTTTAAGGAAATCTCTCTTACAGCTTCCTTGAATCTACTTGTTACTCATGGTGGTGACCTCTTGGACTTGGTGCTACTTTTCCTAACTTGTGCTATGCACTTTACCTCAATTACAGTGGTTTTGAGAAATCTCCAAGCATTTTGAAGGGATTTAAGCCTCTTGACTCCTCTCTGCAACTTCTTTCCCTCCCTCAAGAGAAGCTTCCTCTATTGAAGTCAAACATGACTGTGTTGGACCTCTTTAGCAAGCATCCACTTAATTGTGTATTAAATCTGTTGGTGCTGTGTTCACTGTTTCT